ATTTTCGAAATTTTGAAAAGATTATACATAGCAAATATGATAATACTGTATTGTCTTCGTCATTATTCACCTCGAATGAGTCTATGTAGTTGAAAAATATATTTTCAGGAGTTACCGGCACAAGGCTTTTTCTTCAGCACCATTATAGTCTCAGATAACCAATAGAAATTTTTTTTCTTTGCACTACAAAATTTTTTTTTATTAACACTGCTCACAAGGCATTCGGAGGATATACTGAAAAATACAGTCAAAACAATTTCGCTTGATTTTTTTTCTGAAATTAGCTTTCTCAAAAAAATGTGAGTTATAAATTGGGTGTGCAAGTTACGCATCTTGCGAATATCGACTTGACTTGCGCTTTTGTTTGACTACTTCAGATTCAGTGGACATACTACTTGAATTTTTTTTCGCCTTAAGCAGCATAATTATCATCTAACTTTTGAGGCATGCCGAGTGTACCTCATAGTGGAGGCTATCAGAATCGACATGATTGACTAAAAAGAGACAAATAAATATTTGCTTTTGCTTAGCACGGCGATGCACGAGATCTAACCTACGCATGGGAATTTTTTTCTTTGCGCTTTATGGTCAGTTATCAACGCGGAACTACCGTAAAAGCAACGTATAGCGAATCTAACGTAATGTTGCCAGTTCCTCTCGTGTCTTGTTAAACGGCGGTTGCATTGTGCGATCAAATGTTCACTACTAGTCTCCGGATTGACTGTAGGAGGCACGCGCCGAGACCGATGGTTGATGCATCGGTGTGGATGATATCGGGTTTTCCTAGAATAGGAAGCACTAAAACAAGCGCATCCACTAGGGCATGTTTTAATGCTTGGAATGCTATTTCTTACTCCTTGCTCCAAAGAAAAGCTGCATTTTTGTTTATGCCAAGTTTGTTCAATGGATGGGAAATTTTAGCAAAACGCGGTAAATCTTCAAAAGTACGATCCTGCACTAAGAATGATTTGAGTGCTATTATTATCTGTGAGGCGCGGAATATCACCAAAGCTGTCGAAATTTTTTTTTATTGATCTAGACGTGTATCATTTTCATGAAACAACAAACAATATAATTAGTGTTGTGTATAGTATGAATATTTCTGAATATTTCAAAAGGTTTGAAGTGGTTTTGTATTCGACAGCAGAAGGTAAATATTACGATAATATAATTTGCGTAAGATATACGGCAGCGGGACATCGGGCACAACTGTTGTTGTTGGCAGTATAAGTTGCATAAGAACAGACGCTAAGGGGTCATACTGTGCAACTGCTGCTGTTGGACGTATACCATGATCGTAAAAGATTAGGTTACGCAATTATTAATCCTGTTCCAAGGCTTATCGCGACACAAAGCAGACGTATTTGCACTATCGCAGCTGAAAGGTCATAGCGCTCAAATAATATTAATTTGTCACAAAAAAATTTGTCGCGGGTCACATGCTTACAACTTGCGAGGGCAGCTGCGTTGCTCTATAGCCAAAGGGGGTCACCGCGCGCGGACAGTAGCACTGGGTTTTGCTATATTTCCTGAGAGGTCGAAGCATTACGTTTTGTCGACACTTCCCAGCAGAAGTTATCTGCAGTGGGCCAGCAGATTTATCTTTCTGGGTCTAATACTGCAGTGAATTTTGTGCTAGCAATTGCGAACAAGTCCATTGTCTAATTATAAAAAAGAAAAAAAATAAAATAAGTTAACAAAAATTCACGGAATCACGGTTTCACGGATTCACGGATCACGGATCACGGAATCACGGCAATTTTTTCAAAAAAAATTCACGGATATGCAATCACGGATTCACGGACTCACGGATCACGGAATCACGGATCACGGGAGATGCGAGCGCTTTGCGAAAGAAAGAATTGATAAAAATGGGACTGTTCGCAGGACTGTTATTTTTTATTTTATTTTACTTTATTTTATTTTAATTTATTTTATTTTATTTTATTCCTTCTGAAATGATTAAATATTTTCACTGCACACGATTATTATAGATAAATTAACAGAACAGTTAGAACTCACACACTCGCTTTCATTCGTTGTTGAGTGACTCCATCCAGACGGTTGGAAGATTGTGGCAGAGGGGAGGAGGGGATCGAATATTATTTACCATATGGTTGATTGGTTGATAAAAAAATTTAATTTTAGGATTTGAGAAAAAAAAATCTTCCCGGGACTTCCATGTCAGGATAAAGGTCTGCAGGTCCTTTACCTGATGTGTAGCGGGGTTACATGAGCCTTACTATAATGTTTATTATACAAGTTATATACAAAAGGGGAAGGGGAAAGGGGAAAGAGGGAACCGGCTCCTGCCGACGGGCGGATGTCACTGTCCGAGGTTCGTTGTCTTAGGCCAACCTCCATCGCTAGCAGCTGTTGGGTCATAGCTGCATCCCGACAGGATACTGTAAAGTAATGTTACGGTAGGTATACCGTAGATAGAGGTAAGGCACAAACTTTAGCTCAAATTTTTCGCAGAGTAGTGCTGTTTTTTAAAATTCAACTTTACATGCACGAGGAATACACGGAGAGCACGAGACTGATGTTAGCTCATCAAAAATATCGATTTCTTTGGTTTTATTGATTTTTCGCACTGTTCGTACCAGGAAGCTCAAACTAAACATATAGAGCTTTTTTAAAATGCTGATTACGAAATTGATAGTCTCAAGTTCTGATACCGCCTTCTTACATCAGATTCTTGATTTTTACGAAAATTCTACCGTACTGCTACCGTAGTCTTACCGTGGGAAAGTATTGAACAAAGTGGACACTATAATCGTGAAAGAATCGTGATCAGCACATGAAATAACCTCAAAACACCATTTTTCATGAAAATCCGTGATGTAGGGTTCCTACAGAATGACTGCCGTAACCTTACCGTATACTGCCAAAAACTGAAATAAATCATATTTTGGTAATCAGCGCCTTCGTTAACCCTTGTGGGAAGATTCTCGGAGACATGTTTTGAATTTCTTCCAAAAAGACTACCATTTCGGACAATATGACCCACGGGTGGGCCGTAAGTTTAACAAAGCGAAAAAGACTCTGGTCCGAAACGGCAGTAATCGAAAAATCGGCCCTGTTATGAATGTGTTAATTCGTCTAGATTTTTATCTAATCAACACCGCTATACTTTTCCTTCGAAATAAAATTCACTCCGAGATTGTTCCTCCCAGAAAAAACATAGCCGTTTTCCTTGTTTTGTGTGCATGACAATTATCGGGCTACGGTAGTATGCTAAATTTGCGCTACGACGTATATTCCAAGTGAAGGTGGCATAAACATATGCAGGGTGTCTCAAAAGTATGTATGCACTGTTTGATCGTTAATATCTCTCTCCTCAAGAAGTCTTTTGCCTTGCTTTAGGTACCGTTTTGTAGAGCTGGGTTTAACTTAGATCAGCATTATAGAACCAATCATCCATCTCTCTTCATTACTGTAAGATTACGGTCGAAACTTCAAAGAGGGTTTTGAGCAATGAAAGAGGCCATATTTTGCCTCAGAAAGGAAACAAAACAGCCTGAAAGCTTTCACACTAGGCTAACTATTGTTGATTCTAACTGTAAACTTCCCAACTTATTATGATGCTTCAATGAAGAGTTATGCCGGGTAAGAGGTAGCGGACATTTTTTCAATGCTCCTAAAAAATGCGGTCACCGTTTAGAAAGCTTCGTAATCTTAAGTATTGAACTCAGCGCCCATAAAAACCCTATTACACAAGTTTTCAATTTTTTTTTGAAAAATTTTTGAATTGGCAGCTTTTTCCACATTGACACCATATGTTTCAAGATTCTACCGTAATCCTACAGTAATGAAGAGAGATGGATGATTCGTTCTATAATGCAAATCTAAGTTAATGCCAGCTCTACAAAACGGTACCTGAAGCAAAGCAAAGACTTCTTGGGAAGAGAGATATTAACGATCAAACAGTTCATACATACTTTTGGGACACCCTGTATTATTCAATAGTTCAGACCCAGTGATTCACACAAGAGTCACTTAAGACTAACGTTTTCTTTAGTCTGAGTAGAGGTCGCTGGAAACGAAAATGGGACAAAGGAAGTTCTGATTGGCTCCCAATTTCATAGTTCGGCGGTTATTTGAATTGGAACTTCTCATATGGGCTAGAGGGAAAAGTTCTTTGTATTGAATTGAGTGCAAAAAGAGGTAGTTTACTCATCTTTGAAGCGAAGTTGATCATGTTCGAAAACCATTTCGTTTGATTGGCCCAATAATTACAGACCTCAGAAATCGCTACAACTTGGTCCGGGGGTTATAAAAATGCTAATTACGAGAATGATACGGTTATGTTTTGAGGTAGGACTTCTTCATGCTTGTGGTTCGCTTACGGTGATAATTCAAATTTTTAATGTGCTTCAGTTTTTATGGGTTTATCCGACATTGTGAATGAGTTAAACTAATTTTTGAAAAATAGCTAGAGAACCTGCTTATTAGGCCATTGCCCAAGTCCCAGCCAATAAGGTCTCCCTACGTCAAACTGCCACGATACACGCGCCTGGACGACTCGCTTGTTTCCCTTTCGCAACTTAACACGTCCTACCAAATGTCCTTCTCGTTCTTGACGTGCCTGAACCTGCAGCTTAAGACATTCTAGAGGGGTAAAGCTCGTCCGTGTTGCTTATACTACGTCTTTGAGAAACAGGGTTTCATTTTTACGCTGGTCCAACCAAACCTGTTTAGAGTTTTATGGGATCGGGTAGGCCCGCAATTCGCAGAAATCCAGGCACTTGAATTTTGATGACCCATCGCCTTAACAAATATCCTGTTATGTATTAACATCTCTATCATCTCGATCACGATCCCCTTCCTAACCTGTCCCCTTAGTACAACCCGAGGGGTGTGGCATGCCATACCCTTTGGCTGATTTGACCCCGCTCTAGATTTTTGTTCAAATTCTGAAAAATTAATAGACAACTTATAACCAGTAGAATAGTATTCTGGCGATCTATTGTATCATTCCATATGGTACCTATTTGCAGCTGCTCTGGTGCTTTTGTGCTTTTTATTATATTCCCGCAGCATTTTTTACACATTTATAATCGCACTTATCATTATGCTGTCAATGGGAGTGGCATTCTTCTTCTATGCGGTAACTCTTATAGTGATTCGCAATTCAGAAAATTGAACGCATTATTGTAGGTAATCCTGAAAATTAGGTTTTTCACTGCATTGAATACTTTGGCTCTGGCTCTTATGATTGCTGTTGGCGCAGATGATGCATTCTTACTCATGGTGTATTATAGAAAGTATAAAAAGGTGAAGCTAAACAATTTTCAATTTCTTCCAAGAGGTTTAGAAATCTTTTTTGTCAGCTGAAAGAGGAGCCCTATCAAGTTGGTGAACCCTATGTTCCTCTGTACAAAGAACATGATCGGATAATCAGAGCTATTCGAAGTTCCCTCCAACACTCGCTGGCGTCGATGTTTGTCACTTCAGCAACTACGGCTGTGGCATTTATCTCCAACCTTACAAGTAATATAATTGTGTTAAGGTAAGAAACATGTTTTGAAGTTCAGCTGAGCAGTCTAGATCAGGATGGATAAGAAAAGTGCCGATAACCTCGTCCGTGCGCAAAAATACGACTAACATCAAGAAAACATTGTTTTCCGTTGCTACTGTAATAATTGCTATCAGCTCACGTGCAGGTCACCAATAGCCAAAATTGCTAGAGGTTATGGCTCAGAACTCATAACACCCGATAACTCTCACTGGCTTGTCGCTGGGATTCAGATCAGAAACGCCTTTTTAGGCTTTATCTCCATTTGATATTTCTACAGGAAAAAAGAGTAAGGGCACCACAGGAATGTTGCCAAAGGCTGTCCTCTCCTGCTGGGCGCGCTGCCAAGTCTTAGGGTATATAAGGGCGCGCAGGCCGCGGTCTACGCCTCCTCGAGCTTCGTTCGTTATCGATTTTGTGATGATATCAACCCGCTAGCAACGCCTCCTCTAGCTCCCGCAGATGATAAACGGTTTCGGGCGGTTCAGCCCCTGTTGATCTTCTTGCTTTGGAGACACGCAGCTTAGTATTGTAGTCTGACGAGCAGTAGGATTGGATTGCGGGAGTCGAGAGGGGTCACACTGTCCCGGAAGGGCTAAGGGCTTGCGGTTGCACCAACGGAGAACCGGAACTACTTGCTGAAGTGATTATCATCATCAGGCGTTGGCAGCACGGGACGAAGCGGCTAGTCCCGTGCCTATTCCTTCCTGGATCTGGAGTAGTAGTTTTAGTGGTTTTAGTAGTTTAGTAGTTTTAGCAGTTTTACTAGTTTTGGTAGTCTGTTTTTTTTTGTGTATTTGTAGGTAAAGGTAATCTGAACTAATCGAGCGTGTGATATTTCTGTTGTACGGGTGTGGGGGATGTTGGCGTCGAGCAGGCGCGCTAGAGTGTGCGCACTAGCGCCGAAGCCGTAGATCCTGGAGCTAGGAGTTGAGTAGTTAGGCGGACGAGCATTGGGTGAGGTGCTGAGCACACCGAGCCCCAACACGCACTGTCATTACTAGTCAGTGCAAAAATTACAGCAAAGATCTTCGTGGCAAAACCGTGGTACTTTCCATCAAAATTCTCTTCTCCCCTGGTAGCTGCGAGCCTCAATCAGGTCCCTCTCGGGTAGGGGAAGAACTCCGCTAGTTTGAGCTTGCCTTTGCTGGAAAATACTTCTTTTGCTTTATTGTTGTATGTCGTTGCAGGAACAGTAGTCCGCGGAGGCGGTTAACTAGCGGAGTTCGTTTTTCCTCCTGTCCTTCTCGTGTTGTTCAGCGTTTTTCGAGTTAGAAGCAGCGAGAAATGCACAAAACTCAGCACGTAACGGGACCCTGCCTTCAAGAGGGTTCCTATTGAATTTATACTTATAGATAACCTTCCGCCATAACCCTCTCCATGGTCTCATTTTAGATGCTTCGGAGTCTACGCTTGTTTAACTGTGATGGTCAACTTCGTTTTGGTCGTCTCCTTACTCCCAAGCACTATGGTCATTACTTGCACAGAAAGACAGCGAAAATTCTTACCTCAGATTGATATCGCGTCGAAGTTTTCCCACATGATCTATACAAGCCGCATTGTCATCTTGACGGCAGGTGTTAGTGCAGCACTAGTTGCTTTCATTATAGTCTTTGTCAATCCCGGTCTGCCAATGCCTCGTTATAATCCGGCAAAGGTATGTCTTTTCGAATCGTAGAAAGCGAAGGCAATCGAATTTTTTAGATGCTCCGCAATTCACATCCTTACGAGTGGTATGCGAACAATGCGCATTTGTTCAATTTTGAGTGGCACCTTAATGTTAAATTTACTGAACATTATATCATTGGCATCAGTCCAATAAGGTAAGGATAGGTAGTATCCAATGAGGTAGGTTCTGACTTTCACATGCGCAAAATTCAAGGATTGCAAATTAGGTTGAACCGAAAGTTTGTCGCACCATTTACAAAAAATCGAAACTTTTTCCTGTCAAAATATCTTTGATTGGCATTAACAATTTCAGAAGCAAATCATGCACATTCAAACGTTACCCCGTACTCTCTACTGATAATGAGCTTCGATTGCAGATATGAAAATGTGAAATAATTTACTTGGATTTGATGTTTTTATGCAAGCTCGTCAAAAATCCAATCACTCTGCAGTAAAATCCAACATAGCCAGTGTCAAAAATTTCTGGTCTTCTTTTACACGGAGCAAAGTTTATGCTGATCCTGCTTTTTTTGGATTATGATTTTTGAGAAGAATGCCAAAAATTGATTTTACTAAAAGGCTAATTACTCCACAATGGTCGGCCGTCTCAACGCGGAGTGGGAGGTGGCTTCTTTTCTCATTTTAACTGCAATCAGAGTTTAGGAGAGAGCAAAGTGTATTAAAAATTACGTCATTTACTCTTTCTATCATAATTATATAAATGCCAAGAACGGAAGATGTTGTGATTTGTTCCAAAATGCTGCGGCAAAACTTTGGTTTCAACCTAATTGATTTGTAAACACGATGGGAGGTCAAAATTGATATGCTGTTGTACAGGATATCCCAAAAAATATCCCACCACTTGATTGTGAATATTCATTATCTCGATGTTTTAAGTACCTCAGGGTATAAATTCGTAAGCTGAGTTCAAAATAGATTTAAGTGCAAAGCGAATCGCGGATCTCTCCTTGTAACTGTAGGATTACGGTAGGAACTTCCAACACCTAGCAACATTGTAAATCAGCTGCCGCCTTGTAACTTCAAGGAAAATCTACAAATTTGCTGACAGATTTTCACGCAAGTTCATTCCACTATTTGACTTTGTACAAAACTTACGCTTTTGAGTGCTGAGCTTTTTTAGCATCGAGAACAGATGTCCCATGAGTGTCCCATAATTTTTTTTTCCATTTTTACCCTAAACATCAGCATTTCTCGAGAACTGGGGCAACATCAAACTTTACAAATACATGGTCGTACTTCTGTATCGTGGGCTGTATGATCATGTGCGTGGGAGGAACTCAGGATGCCTAAGGGCGGAGTTTGCCATTTTATCCCACTCATTTTTTTCTTTATTCCTAACTATGAGAAAATACGGAAATAGTACAGTCAAATGTGCGATGTGTCAGGCACACGATAGGATAAATGGAGAATTTTTTAAGATATTTTGAGGCGCAGATACGATTTTTGGAGGAAAAGTTCGTTTTCGACTGCTATAAGATTTCAGCTTAAAACTTCCGGTGAAATGGGAATTGGGCGGATTCTTTATAATCATCTACAGAGCTTCCTTTGCCCTGTCGAATAACTACTCAAGTCACATCAGTGAAGGAAAAATACAAGACGACAGTTGTGGTAAAAACGGTAAAAATTTATGGGACAAGCTAATACTTTACATGGCATAAATGATAATGTAAATTCTATATTTTCTCAGTAGAGAGTTCCCAAAATGAATGGATCCTTTTCAGCGTAATCCTAGCGTAACGAAGAAGGTACAATGTTTTTAGAAAATTGAAAACAGAGGAGCGAGATCTCTTCTCATAGTTCATCGTAATAGAATAGCAAAACATATCATATTGAGTTTCCTTGCAGTGATACCACTTTCTTTGATCCATATAAAAAATACGAGCCACCCACTAGGACTGTTGCGCTCACTTTTACTAAGAAAGACATTGAAAAGATACAGGTATGGTTCTCTCAATCTTTGACGAAAACATAAGTGGCAACTTTTGAGGTAAATATCGCAATGCTTGTGAATAAACGATTTCCCGATTATAAATCGTGGCTGGATGGTTTCCTTTCATCTAATATTACGTGCAAAAACGAAGAGGTATACAACATAAGGATCAAAAAATCATGGTAGTATCCAAAGACAATTTTTCAGGTAATTAACGCATCCTGCTTGAGACAATTCGCCGCAGAATCATATTCACCGGTTTTCTCGGATTATGCTGTCACACCTAGTGATGGGCCAATATTTGATGCGAATTACAGACTGCTGGGGTAAGGTGAAGTTTCTGTTCAAAGGGGCAATATTTAGGCAAATCTGGCTAACTGGCTTCCTCACATGTACTTCTACCTGTACTTGCACTTGTGTTTGGTCCGGGACACTTGTAGAATTATTTGTAGGCCGGATGTGAAAGAGGATAAGACGAGAGGAATGACTTAGCTAGCAGGGAGCGCCTTATAGCGCTCAGATCCCATGCATAGGTCAACACAATACCAATAGATCCTAGAGACCACAAGCCAATAACAACACAAAACAAAGTAACAAATGTTACTCTCCAACAGCTTGCTACTGGATTTGAGTAGACAAGCAGCTTGGTTGGGGGACGAATGGCGTAGTTATGAGGCGCTGCTATGACCAGATCGGACACAGGTTCGATCCGCGCCTCTGGGCCAACCAAGTCCTCTACCCTCCGGGGCCGGTAAATTGGTACCAGAGCAATTTGGGAGGATAAAAGCATCGACTTGGTAAACGGGTGGCCCCCGCAAGTCACTGTGATAGGTTCGCTTACAGTTGCCTCTTCGACGATGAAGTAGTGTGCGTTAGGCGCATGCCCGCAGAGGGTACTGAAGACGCCAAATCCTTTATCCTTTATTCTTTAGCAGCATGGTTTGAGCAGAGGCCAGGAAAACGTATACACCGACAGCCCCGCCAGCATACCCGAGAGGGCGCACTGAGAATGGGCCACTAGTACACCCGCTCACCGAACCTCATCCTGCCTACACTACCTGGCTCCGCCACCTCCACCAGCAATAGAGGGCAGTCTTGTGTTTCAAGCACCAAAAGTTACCAAAATATGTGATGGAAACCCGGAAGTATGAATGTTTGATGTCGGGCATGCCAAAGCTTACTAGTTCATTAAAACTACCGTAAACTAAGTAACCAAGCGTTAATCGAATGGAAAATGATCACGTAGGCCCAACAATCTATTATATCATAGTTTAAACAGAAAAAAGAAAAGTAGCGTGAGTTGGTCAGCACCATAGGGATAAAGTAAACACCATAGTGAGGGAGGAAAAGAGCTGAATCGATGCAATCAAAGATTGAAAAAAGAATAGGAGAAGAAATTATCCGGCAGAGCAGTACGGTGCTATCATTGAAGTCAGTGTACCGGCAAAATCTCGCTCCCCGGTTTTCCACCTTTTCGGGCCTTCTCGCCATGCTGAACCCATATCCGTGCTTTGCAGCGCACGAAAATGGCGAAAATAAGCTTTTTTCAAAGCTCTCCATGGGCGCATTCGCTGCAAAGCTCGTGTAAGTGGGCGGGGTCCGTACGAAATCCCAAGTGGGTTTCAGGCCTTCCAGACACGCTTCGCTCCAGACTTCAACTAGTTGAGGGACTTCCATTGCAACGCTCCAAAATCCTGGTACTCATCATTTTGTCGAGACGCTGCCCTCAAGTTCGATATCTGCAGTACTTGAAGGATATCGATTTTGAGCAAATCTTTTCCCGCGTTCCAAGCAAATGAGCTGCCACTTGAGCAATAGAGGGCAGTCAGTGAGCAATGCTAATTAGGTAAGGAGTAGTCCTACCCAGCCTTCCAAAGTGCCCGCATATCATCGGAATAGCCTTGAAGCGCTGACTGCGAATAAACGTTGTTATTTGCTATTTACTGGAAAGACCGCTTAAAGGCAGAGTCCAGGCAGATCTGGATCTATGGGGATTTTACGTGGAAAGTAATTTTGGGGTCCTAACTGAGGCATTGCCCGAGCGGCAACGAAGGTGACTCACTAACGGCTGGGATATACGCCTCGGAACTGGACAAAACGAACTGGATCCCAGGATCGCATTCGCATGGATTCATGGCAGTTTCGCGCGGGGAGCCATGGGTTGCTCCACGAATCCATGCGAGACACGTTCCTGAGGTCCAGTTTGGAGGCGTATATCTCAGCCGTTAGAGCACTGACTGAGCTGCCTGTTGGGCAAGGCTTACTTGGGGCCCTAAAAATTACTATCCACGTGAATCCCAATGTGTCCAGATTTGCCTGGACGCTGCCTTTAAATGTGCGGACTTGTGAAGTATTCTACGGCGCACGCTCCAGGAAAAACGTTTCAAGAACACTTATCAAGTTCACTTACTAAGTTTTTGGTAAAAGTAGTCTGTGTAATCTTATATATTAGGTTGATGCAAAAGTTCTTTCCCCCCAAATTCAAAAATTCATAACTTGTTAAATTCTTAACGAATCTGCAAGATCTAAATTTTGTGTAAGAGAGGAACTCATGCTCTTTGCAAATGTTCTTGAACTGTTCGTTACTGTGTACAAATGAAGGAGATAGAAGCTAAAAACCAAAATCACTCAAAATTTGAATTTTTCGTGTAGGGTCATAAGAAATCGGAAACTTGCAACAATCGGAGCAGTCAGAACTATAGGCTCTTTCACAAGCTCTCTCCAACAGTGCAAAGTTTGCACCGATTGAGCGTCACTATGAAAAGTTATGATTTTCGAGCAAGCAATACAAAAGGGCGAATTTGATTTATTTTGGCATTTTTCAGGGAATTCATAACTTTTAACAGAGACGCTCAATCGGCGCAAACTTCGCACTGTTGGAAAGAGCTTGTGAAGTAACCTGCAATACTGACTGTTCGATTTTTGTTGCAAGTTTCCGATTTTTTATGACCCTACACGAAAAATTTAAATTTTGGGTGATTTTAGTTTTGAGATTCTATCTCCTTCGTTTGTACACACCAACGAACAGTTCAAGCACAGTTGCAAAAAGCATGAGTTCCTCTCTTATACAAAATTTGGATCTCGCCGATTCGTTAAGAATTCAACAATTTATGAATTTTTGAATTTGGGGGAAAGAACTTTTGCATCGACCTAATATAAAGCTGAATGTCTGTTTGTCAGTCTATACGTCTGTCTGTCTCTCTGTCTGTACGTATGTTCCAATAGAAAATTCCATTCCTGAACCGATCCGGACCAAACTTGGCACACATACACTTCGGGCCCCGGCGGGTGTCATAGGCTACTTTTCGTCATTGATTGATATCGATTTTATCGATTTTTATCTTTTTTTTGTAAAGTTTGATCTACGGGGCTGGGAGTTGGCACAGGTGGGAGGGGGTAATCGAGCATGCTAACTACGAATACCATATTAGTTTTTGGAATCATCCGCTACTTTTATCGATTTCATCGATTTTTTGCAAAGTTTGACTTAGGGGCTGGGAGTTGGCACAGGGGAATAATCGAGCATGCTGATTACGAATACCATATTAGTTTTTGGAATCATCCGCTACTTTTATCGATTTTATCGATTTTTTGTAAAGTTTGACATTCGAGACTAGAGGTTGGTGAGGAAGGTAAGTGAGCATACTGATTACTAACACAGCGGGAATAGGGAATCTTAAGCAAAAGTGGGCACAAGGAAAGGTTGCACAGGGTAGGAATGGAACCTTTATCGTTTCAACAGAACCGGGCAGAGCCGGGTAAGCCAGCTAGTTTACTCATAATCGCTGTACTATGCCCCTCACCAACCTCATGCTGCTTTCGAATTTTAATATCTCGTACTGGAACGCTCATAACTCCTTCCAGGTAGTGGTAACATATTAAATCAGCGTTCAAAAGCGAGTTCTTTGTTATACAGCCGCTAATCTCTCAAATGTTTGGGAACAACCCCCCGCGAAGATGACCACAGAGACAAGCTAAGATAACTCAAAAAATTAGAAGTAATCTTGAACGAAGATTGGACGAGATGAAGCTGATGAAGTTTGGAATGGTTGAGTCAATTTCTGATTAATCCCTCGTTGACTCAAGCATTCATTCCATTTTATTTGAACCCAGTTACTCAGATCTGCTTAGGCACAACCTATAAATCCAAATTCTTGTAATTCAATTTAGCTATTTCATTTCGACATTATCAAATGAAACGCTGGCTCTCGATTTTAAAGTTTTGGAAATTGTGGCGCAGACAATCGAGGCGAACTGCAAGAAGATGGTAGCTGTTGGCGGTGAGTAAATTCTCCAACTGGAGTTCAGAACTTTTTGCGATTCTGTGTATTCCCAGATTTACCCATAATGTGCCTGACATCTTCCGACTTGACCAAACTTTACGATGTTATTGCAACTTTTTCCTCGTCAACTCTTTATTCTGTGATAATTTCTGTTGCTGCTAGTCTTTTAGTCGTTATTCTATGCACTAGACGGCTAGTATTATCGCTCTTAGCTGTTGCTGTTGTTTCTGGTATTATACTTTGGACTATAGGCATCTCCATTATGACAGGTAATTTTAACCCAGAATTCACCCAGAGTGACGTTATCAATTCAAATTTTCAGGTTGGGAACTGAGCGTTGTTGAATCCACAATCCTAATTCTAACCATCGGTTTGAGTTTTGATTTTACCCTACATATGGCTGTCTCCTACCGAGATAGCAAGGAGATCCTTGTTGAAGATCGAATTCGGTTGGTATCAGCAGCACTGATAATAACCATTCGCGAAGGAAAGTTAAGTTATTCTCATTTTTCAGTTCATGCCTTTCATCGGCTGGTCGGGCATGTATGCTTGGTGCTACAACATCTATTCTCTGTGGAATTCCTCTGATATTTGGGGAAACTGCTGCGTTTACCCAGGTAATGCTTTCGTACGAGGACCTCATTTGGTACGCTGGTCAAGAATTCGGTATCCATTGTTACCCCAGTGAACAAAATTTGAGAAATCTAAAAAATTGCGTTCATTGATTGTATTCATAAAGTGGAGAAGGGCCATTTTAGATCCACTTTACTTGTTATCTAATCAATATATCGATTCACAGTGATGCACCATAAAGCATGCGCCATAATTTATCCACTTGATCCACTTAACTCACTTCGTTGTTGGTCAAAATAGTGAACTGACCAATGGCGACGCATACGTCCATTTGATTCACTCATCTACTTCCCTATTGGCCAGTTCCCTGATTTGACCAATAGCGAAGGGAATGAAGCGGATGAAGTGAGTCAAATACGGCGTGTGCCAAGTGCGATACCAGATTTTGCTGGGGTTACGGTAATTGTGTGGTAAAGGTTCCCACTTTAACCCGGTAAGGTTCTACACATCGCTGTGGTTCTACAATTTACAAGAAGATTATACTTTTTGAATGGAATGCTGAATAAGGTCTATTTCCATGTAAGCTTACAGCGTATCCGAGATTTTCACGCGTACAGTATGCCTACCGTAACCCAGTGCAAAGCCTGCCATCATAAAATTCGTAATTATAGCATGTAAAGTGACTCTGATGGCAAAATATAAGCGAAGTTTGCATTATTTATTTATAAGTTCCGCTAGGGCCCAATTTTCGCTATCCAAAAAATCGAAAAATCCAATCAATATATCGATTTTTTACAGCAGTTCACCATGTGGTGCAAATTCTGCTTTCGAGTTTTCGTTTTTTTCCACTACTGTCTGAACAGGATCTCATTCTTCACAGCCCATCAACTTATTGTTATTCAAGGACATAATTTAGATCGGCTCCCTGCTCATCATACTTGGAATGACGTCCCTATTCGGAGCTGTCATCGTCTTTCCAGCCGCGCTGGCATGTTGGTCAACAATTCGATCACAAAAAGTTTCTTCAATGCGACTTTAAGGGTTTTAACTAGTTTTTAGAATTTATTTTTGTTCGATTGATTTTTTAATAAAGATTTTTGGTTTTTTGACGACCTGTGAAGTCTAGCAGTCAACAAGTCGAGTAATCAAGAAGCCGTAAAAAGCTCATCTGCATGCAAATTTCGTGGCATAGGTGATGCGCGCACGAATCGTCATAACATATGCATTCTGTTTTTCACACGTTATATGTAGCCTAAGCTTTGTTTTTCACATAGCTCTTATGAATGCAGAAGATTTGGCCTTTCCAACGCCTCATGAATTCATCATAAAAATGCTATTTTTAAGGCATTTTGAATGAAAAAATGTGCCTAAGACTGTTGGAATTTTGGTTTTTGCTCGTCTGCGCCTGAAAAAAGTACCAAATATGATCATGCTCCGGTCCTGAAGCATGAAAAGTGAAATATTAGGATTCGAGCACCATGCTTGTGAACATTTTATTCATTGACTATGTCTACTTTTTTTTACAGTAAAAGTCTATTGCTAAACATATATCGTACGGTATGCATAGTAAGTACTGAAATAGCATTTTCTGTGGCATTAAACAATTTTGTTGTAAGTGAACGAAATTTTTGTCTATTATTTTGAGCGTGATTCGCTGCTGACTGTTTTACACTTGAACACTTTTGTCTTTTTTCCAAGAAGGACTACTCCTTCAAAGTCTTATTTTTGTCGTCGCACACTTTAAGAGCAGGGCATACTTCACGCGACTTCATGGCGACGCGATTTGGCAGTTTGCCAGAAGTCTTTAGATTCAGCACTAGCAGACTGCACATGCATAGTGTGTATGACTTACATGGGTTGACGAAATATCTTTCTTCTGCACATCTAGAATGTGCTTACAGTAAGTTATATTCATTTGGAATATTGCCAAATCGCGTCGCGACTGAAATCGCAAGGAGTATGCCCGACCCTTTAAAGGGGTTAGAATTTGAATAAAAAATAACTCAGCCAACTTCTGACACCCACATGTACACCCTGTTTTGGGAAATGTGCTCTTGCTCATCTTATTTAGTTTAGGAAGATGAAGGTTCACAGCTATAGAAATAAATTATTTCAAATTAGGGAATTCTATAATCTCCCCCCCCCCCCTCCCCATCTTCACCCCTTTCAAAAACAAGACTTCCTTTTTTCACTGGCAACAAAGTATTGTTTAATGTTCCTAAATTTAGCGATGCATGAAAGTGATATCTCTGGAAAATGGTCTCTTGATTTTGAGAATCGATTCTTCTTGCATTCTTGCTCTCAAGGATTATTGATGACTAAGAAAAGCGAGAAAATAAAATTGCTTCTCCGCATTTTCGCTATGTTCACATTTTTCCAAGTATTGCTCATCTGCTTTAACTGCTCATGTCACATACCATATAAATCCACATTCTTGCAAGACAGTCGTGGGTGTAATTGGAGAATGATTAATAATGTCTCGCAATGTTTCATCTAAAATTGCAAGGAGACTTCGAAAATTTTGCAAAAATTTTATCCCATGCAGGCAGAGCATTTGAAGAAAACATTCTGGAAAGGTTATGCTGTAAATCAATCAATACAATCACAGAACAGAATTCTTGGAAATCCGCTGCATCGAATACATGATTATTCTCTCTCAGTTGCTACAGCATATTATTAGCATATGGTCGAAAGATTTATGGGGGCGAAGCTAGCCACATTCGCAACGTTATAGGACGCTCAGCCTCATTCTTCAACTTTTATAGTGTATAGTATTGAGACTTTGTGACAACATCCCTCTATTTCTCGATTTTTTCAAGTAAACATATAAAATAAAACGAATCTCCACATTATCTAATGTAAATAGGAAGCAACACGGCCACAAAGGCAAAAATGGTTGGTAGCCATGCCTTCGAAACATTTTCTTACAAAGCCTTAGAAATCTCAAACTTTGCTAGGTCATTATAAAAGGATCTTCATTGCTCAACAAATAAATCATTTGCACATTTTAATAACGCATAACTTTTCTTCGCATACCCCCTCCCCCCGTATGCGTCATGTTTTTTTGGATGAAGATGGCGTCGCGTGAGTTAACCCCCGTGGAAAAATTTTGAGATAAAAAATATGCACGCTTGCAAGCTTGTCTTCCAAATTCCCTCTATCATTTGCAAGTAGAGCGAATATTTATGCACGATCGAGCTTCTTGTCCAATCTGGAAGGCCTACAAAATTTACTCTTTTTGAAGGCCTCGCATCCAAGCGGACCATCATTCAAATCCCTTGTTCTGCTATTAATTTGTGCCTATTGCATATTTTGGAAGATAACATCTAGAAAAGATTTTTCATCGAAAACTCACGACTTCACTATTCTGGAGGCTTCAATAGTCGAGACATTCACTAGGTATTGCTTTGCCTAGAGCAATGGCATTCAATTTTTACAAAAATCAGTTATTTTCTCAAAATTATATTCTCTAATCTTTAGAAAATGTATGAAGCATTGAACAACATCATTTTTGTGGTTCTTTTGTTACTTTGTTGCACGGTAGCCAATCTCATTTAAGGCTCAATTTACTCTCAAGACATAATGAACACAGATTTAGACTTAGATGACATCATTCTTGAGCAACGATGTCGAGTGGAAGAAAAGAAATGAGGCAGGATTCCTGGAAAAAATGCACCGATATTCATCTCTACGTATGACCTTTGAATTGCTCTTCTAGAATTGTTCTAATTCTTTCAAGGTCTCGTGCCAAATTATTGTTTGGAAAATTAGATCACAATGCTTTGCCAATCAGTCTCTCTATATTTCGCATTTTTGCTTTTATTTATTTCTATTTTTTGCTTTTTTAAAATTACGCAAACTTTGGGATTTAGCAGGCAATATGTAAAGCTAACAGAAAGTAGTCTACTTCTATAGATTCACTTTTTCTGTGGGTCTAATTTTCTTTTCAGTTGAAATTGGTATTTTCAAGGAAACCACAAATTCTAAAATAATTGGCAAACGATGATAATGCCATCTTTCTTTTTTTCCCTATTTCCATCTTTGAAGAGTATCTAAGCACCTGTCCATCTCATCGCCCAATACCGTCTTTTGATCATTTTCGAAGAAATTTGGGATTTATAAACAAAGCAAGTTTTTCCTTTGAGGTTTATCGTAGATTTTCACATGTTACAATGCTCCGACCGCGGGAAGCGTTGGTGCAAAATACTCGTCCAAGTTATTTTTCTATGAAAACCCTATTACTGTAATTTCTTAGCTGGGATGTATGTAATATAAGATTGTATATCTTTGCTTGTTAGTGACATGGAGGCATCGAAGCAAATAATGTTATCTAATCCCTAGTATGATAGCGCATTGATCATCGCCAGTAGGTCATATTATACTATGTTGCCCCAAAACTAAACTCCTTTTTTGAATGAATCAGATTGTTCTTGCTTTTCTAGTACACTTAGGGTATCTTTCGATGCAAAATGACCAACAAGATTCTCTCTAAGTTGCACTCCGCGTAAAGTTTGAAGCCCAAAAAAAAGCTTTGTCACCTAAAAATTTGATTTTTGCGAGGAAATATCCTATGGATCTTTGCTCATTATACAGTGGCCACATAGCACTCAAATACGCCTTTACTGGATTTTCTCCACGCACATAAACCGAGAAAAAAAGATAGTCCAAAAATGGCAAACCCCGCCTTTAGCTTCCCCCACTTATGTCATTGTATACCAAGCCCCACCGAGTATGATTTTTAAATTTTACTCCTGACATCTGCATGTGCTCTTATGATAGAGAAATACCAGTTTTACATGAAAACCTGAAAAAGCGGCATTTTGGCATTTTCGGCCATCTTTGTCTCTCAATTTTGAGACTTTGTAAAAATTCCACCAAATACATCTTTGAGTAGTACTAAGTATCTACTATATGAATACCAAGTTGGAGGTCCGAATTTTTTGGAGAAATATGATTCTTGAAGTAGATAAGAAATTTTGATTTTCGCCTGGGAATTTCATCTGGATTATGAATAAAGTGGATCCTTGGTGGTCATGTAGAGCTTGCTCGGCTCTATCGCATGGTACCCCAAGTCCATAAGAAAAACAAATAGCTAGCTTAATGTATCTGATAATGGAGCTTACTTTTGGGAGAACCTAATAATGTTATTCTCGTGTTTTGGCATTTTTGACATTTAAGAATAAAATTGATTTTCAAGTTTTTGACAACTTTAGATTCGCTATAGTTCCAATCAGTTTTCGCTAAAGTTCACTGTAACTTATTTCGCTCAGCCTTGCTGTTCCAAACCTAGAAAGTAAAATTTTTTGACACAGATCACTTTTTTGTTCATAGATTAAATTATACTGAGTTTGCGGTCTGCATGTCGCCATGGCTGATCGCTACGTAGTCCCGTGTTTGTTTATTTTTGCGATAAACAGTTTATTCGCTTGCCAACTGCAGTGCTTCTCTATCGTTTGTTGGCAGTTGATTTCAGAATTTGATTCCATGGCTTCGTCTAGAAAATGTTTTAGGAATCGTCAATTTCTTTGCAAAACCAGCAGGGTGATAATTTTCTAATCCACATTTTGAAAATTGTTGAGGCTTCAAGATAACATCTGTTCTGCCGTAATGACTGATTATGAAGACGTCATTGGAAGTCTAACACATACTTTTCTCACATTCTTGGTTATCTCAAGAAAACTTTGCTTTACTTGCTTTATTGTGCAGAAAATCATAAGGTAATCTTATATAAATTTCATACCTCCTCTTTTTTTTATTTTTCACTACGAAGTCTTTTGAGATGCTAAGCAATACTCTCAAACTCCTTTGGGTCTCATAGATTTTTCGGCACAAAAGCGTCTGGTCATAAGAATTCATCCCATTTTCTCCGGATTTATTGCATCAATTACTTTTCTTCAGTTTATATGGTTTCCTGGTAAAAAACCCCATGTTGATAGAATTCGATAGCTTAGCTCCATCTGCTCCACTCTAATGCTAAACCGTGTCCTAATCGGTCTTTTGTAATCGTCATATAATCCAGTACAAAAGTTTAGCTCGCTT